AAGGCATTCAACAGCAGTCTTTAAGATTTAACACTATGGGCTTTGGGTTTAAGGGAAGAGAAGGGCAACCTGTCAGAAATCCTGATCCCCAGTTGTTTGGACCAACATCTAACTATAAACTTATCATTATCTTTATTAGTTCAGAACCCGAAAGAAGTCAAAGGAATGTCAAGCATTTCCTGCCTCTGAATGGTGGAATCATAATACAGTCAGGACTGTACATCTGTCATTTGTATTTCCTTAAACCAGCAGTCACCAAACTCTTCAGCTCATCAACCTTTTCATGAAGTTTTAGACTGTTTCTCGACCTCCAACTATTTATTATAAGAAAATTCATTAATTAATATTAGTTGAACTGAAAGTCCTATGAAAAAGGAGAAGGAGAAGGAGAAGGAGAAGGAGAAGGAGAAGGAGAAGGAGAAGGAGAAGGAGAAGGAGAAGGAGAAGGATGGATAGTTCAATTGACCCTTAGGGGTCAATATTGACCACTTTTGGTAACCCTGCCTTAACCACTGTAACAAAGGAAACAGATCAATCCTTGCAGTATAAAGTATGAAGGAGCCAGTCAAAAATGTAAATAAAATAGGGTGGGAGTGATGAATTAAAATTTTCCTCCCTGTCTCCAGGATAAGTCACATACATGTACTTTAGAAAACTGAGTTGCCATCTGAATATTTTAAATAACTTCTACTATTTACATGAGGTAGTTTGTGATTGGTGAAATTGTCACTGAGTCATAATTACATGAGTTATATTTCTTTAAGTGGATAACCCTAGGTTTGTATGAGCCTGGATTCAAACTGATCAATATTACATATTTTAATATATCTTTTTCCCTCCCTATTTATGAGTGGCAGTGTTGATAGGGAGAAGAATTTAAACAAAATTGCAGAAGATCATTAGATTAGAAGTTCATTAGAATTTGCTAGCTGTGGGACCCATACGATTGATATTCCAGTCTTATAATATTGTGAGATGAGGAATTTATAAAATGGTAGGGGGGAAAAGTTGTTCTAAAATTTATATTCTTCATAAATTGATGATCATTTAACTACTTTCTGCAGGATTCAAGTACAGGAAATGGCCAACCAATCTACTGTGAGAGAGTTTGTTCTGATGGGATTTTCTGATGA